ACCGTCAATATTGCAAGGAATCGTATAAATAGAAAACAAGGTACAACTTTATTTTGAAACGATTCCATTGAAGAACAAAAAATTTATGGTAATTGTTTATTTCGTGGCAGAGCCTAAGAAATTCTAAATTTGTTATAAAAGCATAAGTACAGAAAATACCATGAAATAAATGCGCATATTTATCAAAAATCAACCAAATTTTTCGGTGAAATAAATGGTAATGAAATTTCATTAAATTATCCATTCATAAAAATTAAAACAAATACGTTTCTTTCAGAATGTAAGATTCGAATAACATTAAACCATAACTTCTTATACATTATTTCCCCCCTTTGGAGCTCGAATTTTCCAAAATCCCTTCTTAGTGGGCAGCTTCCGTTGTGCGTTGATCACCAATCAGTCAGTCAGGACAAACTGTTTTATATATATAGGTGGCGATGAAACCGCTTCAACCATGCCCCATATTCCCCACTCTCTCGAAATGCTTCACGATATGTATTGAGCCGAAATTTGATTATTTTGAATAAAATAAACTTATTTTACCAAAATACAAATCCTGTGCTCTTATTTTTAGAATTTTGAAGATTTTTTTTTTTTTTTTTAATGTATTTTAAAATATGAATATTTGCAGCTTTCTCAAATTCTTTTGAAATAAAATAGAAACTCTTGAGTTTTGTAATATATTTTATAGAAGCGTAAAGAAAGAATATTTCTTTCTTACATTTTTTTAAATAAAAAAGGAACTGAATACATTTATATTATTTTTTGTACAAACTTTAAATTGAAGATAATTTTATTTGAAGATTAGAAATAATATTTCTTTCTTAAGTTCTTTTAAAATAAAAAGGAACTGAATATATTTCTATTATTTGTTGTAAAAACTTTAAATTGAAGATAATTTTATTTGAGAATAGAAATGTTTTTGAATTTATTGGGTAATTTTTCTAAAGCTTGAATTTTTTATTTTTTTGAGTGTATGGAAAGCACACTAAGCTGCAAGATTTTAATTATGCCAACAGACAGACAAACACACAGCCAGAGGGACAGACAAAGCGGCAGATAAACAGACAAGCCATCAGACAACTGTCAGGAAGGACACACCAAGTACAAAACAAATTACAGGCAATATGTGACTTAATTTCTGTATGAGCCCCCACCCAACACTACATACTATATAGTAATTGTGAGCAACACAATACAAATTTTTATCAATAAAACTTTCATCAGCAATCAGGGACATTTTTGGGCATAAGTGTGTGTTAAATCGGAGCGACTATTTGCACAAATTGCCATTGAACTGAGTTCCGAATATATAGTCCAAGTGCTTCGCATCTACTTAGTACACTCTTATGTAGGTATGTCGGCATGTGTCTGTATGTATGCCTTTGTGAGGCATAACTGAAATTGTTTACATTGCATTGCTGGATGGGCGATGGGGATGGGGAGGGGGGAGGGGGGACGCAGCAAGCGTTTCTTCTTTTGTGCGAGCCAACCATTCAGTGGAACCACCGACTGTGTACATTTTTATCGATTTTTATGGCACATTTTACACGTTGAAGCGCGTGCCAGTCTTTGTAGGTTTGTTTGTATACTCGTATACCTAGTCGTATAAATGTATATATAAATGTATGCATGTTTGTATGTGCTTGGCCAATTTAAAAGCTATGCAAAGAAAAAATTGTGGGTGTGGATCTAGGAGGTGGGAGGTGGATGCCGAAAATTAAAGTAATGTTAACATCTGCGAAATAGTAGAAGCACATGCATTTGACGACAGAGAATTCGATAACTTTGTGTAAAGTGTGCTAAACAGGCAGTAATTTAAATGGATTTAAGAGATTTTTCAATATATGCTGTGTTAGTCATGTCAAATATATGAGATAAGAAATTATAGCTGATTTCTCAAAAACTTTAACTGCATATGACTGAGAAGAACAAGCCTGTGAAGTTTGAGGTATCTAGCTATTGTTATTAAACAACGATGGGGGTTCATACAGACAAACAGCGGGTCAGACCAATTCGCAACAAACATTGCAATAAAAATGTTTATTTCTTATTTGTTTAGTATACATCTATATTGTTATTTAATATATATTAGTGTGTAATAATAGCAACACAACTAATTTATAGAATAAAATATTTTACATAATATAGCACAATTTAGAAGCGTAATCAATTAAACGTTCGTTTTACATACCTCCAGGGAAAATTGTTTGCCATTCAAAAAGCTAAAGCTGGCTTATTCTACTAATGGTTTTTGCTAATTCTTTCTATGTACTCATGTCTCTCTTTTTTCACATTCATTATCCCTGCTTGTTTGCCACACATTTCAGCTATTGATTATGCAGCTTACTAAGTTCCCATTAGGGTTTTTAAGTCCAGCGATATTTGTAATTCGACACACTTTTGATAGCTTGTCTACCATTTCCTACCCATATTCTCTTGCTTGAAACTTTCGAGGACACAACAACTTATGCCTTTGGACACTTTCTCATTAGCTCTACAAACAAGCTGCGCTGAAAAAGTGAAAAACTGTATACTCAGTTATAGTGGAACAAATTGCGCAGAAAAAAACACGCTTGCTACTTCATTTTGCATGTCATTAAATGCTTTGCGTTGCAGTGTCGTTTTTTATTATTAATTAAATGTCATGACCGCTGGAACCACACTTGCTATTCAATTCTCCCAACAACAACAACAACGTTGGCTTTTTAAATGCCACTAACGTGTTTATCAGCAGTGTCTGTTTATAATGGAAAATGTTGTCTACTTCGGGGGGCGCGCTTCATTTTAGAGTATCCTTATCAGACTCTTTGGGTGACTCTGCAGCGGAAACGTTTGCTATCTGCACAAAAAAAGGAGCAAAGCAAAGAGTATTGAATTGACTGTGTGACGGCAGGACTTAAAGTGTACAAGGATCTGACAGCGATAGCAATGGTGTCAAAAAACTTTTCCATTTGTCACCGCCACAAATCCACAGAAAGCACTCGAGACAAATCCCTGCTCTGCCGCTTTAGCACTTTTTAATAACACTTCGAATTACTTTTTAGGGTCGAAAACACATCAGCAACAACAACAACAATTGCATCATCATGGCTAATGTGCTGAGAGACAGGAAGAAGGCAAATGGCGCATTGTTTTGTCGCTTGTTGTAGTTGTTGTTGTTGTTGGTCTCCTGCCAAGAATGTTCAACACGTGCCGTTAAAAATTCTTGTTAGCCGCAACATCGCGTTCGTCCTGTCATATTTATGACAGTTATGCTTGACACATGCCCTCCTAAAACAACAACAACAACTCATTGTTTATTCAGCTCCATTTGCTTTTGCAATGCCTGTCATTCGAACTACACGAGCGTTAAGTATACACTGGGCAGCAATAAACTATTGTCATATCTTTGCTGGATTTGTAAATCATGTTCGTGACAGAGTCTTTAAATAGGGCTCAATACAAACTCCAAAGAGCTTTAACTGATGCTCGAATTAGTGTCGCCACAACGACCATGAATGGTTATTACATTTCCATCAAATAAGCCCATCAATAGGAATTGAACGGCTTCTTTTCTATCGCTATCTAAGAGCTGATTGCTGTAATCGATTTTGTGCAGAAAAGCACATCACCAATATCGATGACATTCAACCGATAAGACAATCGAACATGTTGCAAGCATTACAGAAATTTGTTTTTTTGTATTAGCAGAGTGTTTTTATTTAAAACTGCCCATCCTGGACAATCATTAAATTGGTTAAATAAAATTGACAATTAATTAATTTTATTTATGATTAGAGAAATATGTTTTTCAAATTATTATAACAAACAATAAGCAGCATCGATGTCTACCAAAAAATAATATTAAAAAAAGCCAGCCAGAAATACCTAACTTTTCCAGTGAAATGGTGATGCACGATCAAGTTGAGGAAAATCTTTTGGACGTTTGGACGTCATAGTTCTAGAGATGAAGTAGCAGTAGAAAGCATTTTTCTTTTTATAACCCCCCTGTATCAATCGTGTGTGCATTTTGAAAGAATGATTATCGATTGTAGATTTGCCACTGCCGACCGCTTGTGATGATTGTTTTCATAAAATATTCTAATGTTAGTATTTTTCTCGACAAAATTCTGACTGTAGTGTTAAAATCGAAAAATCTAAATCAACTAATCATAATATTTGATCGATTTGTGTTTTGTGATTTCGATTGACATTTTTACTTATCCGAATCACAAATCACAGCGATCAGCAAGTGAAATCAGTAATGATCGATCACAAATCGCTACGATTGGGAAAGTTCAGGTTCAATAAACAGTTCACTCAAGATCGTTTTGAAGAAATGAAGACGAAACTTTGAACAAAACAGCGCAGTCTACGAAACAGTACCCTGAGAAATCGAGCCCACCGAGATGTATTTGTCAGCTGGCAAGCTAAAACAGAATATTTGTTGTAAAAAAAACCGACACAATTCGAGACTGACATTATCCACGAAGTTAGTCCCAATTACAAACTAAGCAAAGCGACCTAACGGATGAAAAGCCATTCAAACATAATAAATACATCTTCTTTGTAAAAATTCTCTCTCTTAACTATGGCACAATGGTTGACAATGACGTTTCCGAACCTTTCCAAATTTCGATCTATCAGCACATTATTTTCCACTACTTTGCTTCATTATGAATTCGGGAAGAGTGTTTTCCATTAGTCTTGTTTAAAAAACTTGTCAAACTGCGCAGAAAATCGATTTTGACAACGAAAATACATTTAATGGACGCATATAAATCATGTTGAACGCCACAAAATCGCCCTTTGATCTAGATGTCTGACAGACTGTTTATATATACATATATATATAGCATATATATTATGTGTATCTGACTTGTGTCTGGCAGTCAATTTGTTTTGCGGTCATTCCGACAAACATAATCACAACTCACTGCCGATATATCTGCTTGTATAAAAGGCTAACAAAATACAATTACGATTTATATTATTGTTGTTGTACCCTACCCTTTCAGGTTCTCCAGCCGCTATGAGCTTCCATTGCTCGTACAGAGCGTAGTCATGAATGTCACAATGTTCCTAATGATACATCTGTGCGTTAAAGTTAAACGTGTCAATGCCAACAATCGGGAGCACACATTGCGAGGTGAGTGGATACTGCTCTTTACTATGCTACGAACACCTTATTGATGATGATTAATCGACTTTTTGACTTTTACCCCCTCTCTCGCGGAATAGGCGATGAGTTGCACCTCCCCAAAGTAATGACGGACACGGATATCGCCGCCTCTGTTTCCACCGATGCGGGTGTACTAAAACGTGCCCGCTCTAGGCACTACTTGAATGGTAAGTGTGGGCTCTTGGGATCAATTCTATCTATACAGTGTAGAGTTTATTTAAAAGAAATCAAATCAAATCTTTTCCAAAATAGGCGTAAAACAGTATTTTTATTATTATAAAGTAAATATATTCTTTATATGAGAAACTAGCCTTTTAAAACATTTATATTTTGCTATCAAAATCAATTTAATTCTAAGCATTTTGGATGGATTTATATTGCCATGTTCGGTGGGGTTACAATTTGTGGAACAGCTCGCAAATGTTTTCCAGTTTTCGGCAAACGTCTAAGTTGTTGACGAAGATCCTTTTCAGCTATTGGGTATGAGGGATAGTTGATGCCAAGGCAACAGAGCAGGCTGCTATGTCTGGGTTTTCGTTACTCGAGATTTCTTGACCAAAGGAGAACAAGTTGAAATGTTACAGTAGTATGTGTAAAATAGCTAAATCGTTACTGCAGTTTAGTTTCTACTACAGAAATCGTAATCAAGCAATTAGCATGCTTTTAAGAAAGCAGGAGTAGTAATCAGAAACATGTCCGTCTGCCACAAAAACATTGTCGCTAGAGACTTTCATTTACTGGATATAGATGCTACTGTAAATAGCCACTTCTTTTCTTCTTAAAGCTGTTTAAATATATGTCTGCTTTATCACTTTTCCAATTTTTGTACCCAATACTCAAAGGCTAAAACGGGGAGAAGACGAGTCGTTTTAGCGCTGCCCTTTTCTATGTTCGTCTGTATGAACGGGTAGATCTCAGGAACTACAAGAGCTAGAATAACCAAATTTGGTATCCAGATTCCTTTAAGCAGCTCAAGTTTAGTATTATATTTATAGTATTTAAGTTTTGGCTTGCAGGGCAGTCTAAACAGTTATTGAACATATGCTTCATCTAAAAAAAATGACCTAATTTTCTTGTAATGCCACACAATTATTATTACAAGTGTAGAACAACAATAAATGCTAAATAAATGCAATAAATACATTTCTAAATTAACAATTATTTAATGATATTTAACGAAACTGTCTTTAAACAGAAAACTTGAAGTTCATGAAATATGACATATTTTCGACATTTTTCAATTCGATCCTTTGTATATGAAAGGTACAGGGGTAAACTAGTTTGTGCGTGGCTTGTCGAACTTTTCATTGAAAAGTTCTTTGTGCGGGCCGACTCATACATTCTGAGGCAGGCAGTTGACAGCAATTTCCGCGTTTTTCTTTATGTGGTTCTGGCTAGTCGTGGCTCTGACTCTGCCAGGCAAGCAGGCTGGCAGGCAGGCAGTCTGTCCGCCTGTCAGTCTGTCAGTTAGTTAGGCAGCTCCATTAACCGCCCGCACCCAGCAGCGTAGCAATGCCTTACACTTTTATTTTTATCATTCATTGACTACCGAGAAGTACAATGCCAAGTATTTTATCTATACGCGTCATTTGATGCCTGCCTTTGCCGTTGCTGTTATGCCATTTATGCCATTTTCTCTGTTTACGGCTTATCAATTGGCCAGAGTTAGGAAACAAGAAGGAAAATAGAATGGTGGCGGCCCAGTAACTGTAACTGGGTTAGTGGGCGCTATAAATTGATCAATGAAACCAGCACCGCAGCACAGAATGAGCTCCACATTGAGTTAATTATAGTGTCGCTATGGTTTTGGCACGCCCTAGATATACCTGTGATTCAAAGGGGGTGTTTAAAATTGAAGTGCGCCTAAAAGCAGTACAGGATAATGGAAATAGTTTGATTTCAGGTTGAAAGCAAATAAATTTCAAATCGTAAAGCTAATGTGGGGCGTTTTTATGGCTTTAATTAGAAATGATAAGGCTTGAAATGTTTTTAAAAGCTTAAGCAATTAGAGACGTATGCTATCTATATTATAACAGCTACTATAATATATACGTTTTTAATTTTTATTTGGCGCTTTAGCCTATTAGCAGTTTTTATATGGAATTAAAAAGTCTCTATCGGTCATTCAGTAGACGAATAACACATTATTCGACTTAAGGTTGGGAGCAGATTACTTTAAAATGTTAATGGAGGCTTACATTTTAAAATGCTAAGGCTTTAAAGGTTTTTTATAGCTAAAGGAATTAGAAGAGTATAGTTAATTAATCTATCAACTGCTAGAATGCTTTTAAAGAGCCATTGCAAGTTTCTAAATTGCATTAAAAAGTCCATATCGGTAATTAGTCTAATGACACTTTTTTTATGTATAACAGTTCGTTTAAGAGCTTTTATTTGATTTTAAATAATTTAATTTATTAAGTTAAATGTGGTTCGTTTAATTGTGGGCAGCTTAGTGCTTTGAAAGAGCCATCGCAAGTTTCTAAATTGCATTAAAAAGTCCATATCGGCAGTAATTAGTCTAATGACACTTCTTTTAAGTATAACAGTCGTTTAAAAGCTTTTATTTGATTTCAATTAATTTAATTTGTTAAATTGAATGTAGTTCGTTTAATTGTGAGCAAACTTATCGAATGACACATTGTATAACAGTTTATGATTCGATTTAATGCAGATTACTTTGAAATGTTAAAAAGTTTTTATAAGTAGCTTTATAATTATAACAGCTGTTATTATTTTAAAAAAATCTCTGCAAGTTTTTATAAGGAATTAAAAAGCATCTATCGGCCGTAGTGAGCCTAAAAGCACATTGCTTTTAAGTATAACAGTTCGTATAACAGCTTTTATTTGATTAAATGTTGTAAGCAATTTCCAATTGAGAAGTGAACGTAGTGCGTTTTATCGGCTACAAATAGCTAAAACAATTGGACATTAATGCTATAACATCATACTTACAAGTTACCAAATTGGTTTTAAAACCCCTTATACAGTTTTGGATTTGAATTGTGTAGCCATATTGTACCTTATTTATGATCACCTTATTATAAAACAGTATAACAGTTTGTAAGACAGTTTATTTTTTTCCAATTTCAGATCTCAATTTCAGATATTTCTGGAATTGGACAGATTTTCAATCGTATCTAGACTTCATGCTGGTCGTTTGGGCCCTAGGCGCTGCCATTACCTATTTAATGTTATCCGTTCACTGGTTCATGGAATCCATGGGCTTTGTGGCTGTCTTTACAGAAGCCATGCTAGGTAAGTAAATAAAATATAGATGTCTACAAAATTTCTAAAATATTACTTCACATTACAGGCGCACCTCAGTTTCTACGCAATTTCAAGAATAAATCAACATATGGTATGAGCATACACATGGTCATTATGTGGACGCTCGGTGATATGTTTAAGACTGGTTACTTTATTGTTAGGAAAGCACCATCACAATTTTGGATCTGTGGCACACTGCAGGTGCGTAGGATCGATAGTAGATCTGGGTCTGGGCATTGGAAATGTATATCTATAATTAGTTCTCTGTATTTTTTTTATTTTATTTATTTATTTATGTCAACAAACATTGATATAGGAGGAAAATATATAAATATTATAGAAAGCATCTAAGAAGGAGAAATCTAATCAAATTACAATAATATCTAATAATGATCTTAGGTATTCAAAAAAATACATAATTTGTAGGCTTGTTTCAAGCTTCGATTTAATTTTCACTAAAAGACAGGCAATATAAGTGTTTCTAGAACTTATTATCTTTAATAATAATATTTCTTAGAAACTTTATTAAAAGTGAACTCAAATTAGGCCTGTAAATGAGCTAAGTAATGTTTCCAGAACTAATAATAGGTATATATTTCCTTGCCCATTTCCAAATTAAATCTCAAGAACTAAAGAATAGAATAGCTAACGTATCTATCCATTTTTTCGCTCCCAAAATAGGTCAGTCTGGACTTGGCCATATTGGTGCAGGTCTGGGCGTATCGCAAGAATTCCAAGCCGCGAGATCTGCGTCGCGGAGATTAGCAGTTTGCCCCCGAAGAACAACAACAACAACACGATGTACACATTAATTCCGACGAGCAACAACTCTCGTTGCCCAATACTATAAGCAGTGGAGACGACCATTTGCTGACCGCCCGTGCCGATGACGAACACTTCAAGATACCAGAGTACTCGCAGTGCCACGACAATCGCGCCTTTCAATACCACAACAACAATATGCTGCCGCGTTCCGCAGGCAGTGGCAAGAGTGTCAAAGCCGATGGCAGCGTCGCATTGGACGCACTGGAAGTCGTCATTGTGCATCCGCAGGGCCACAATGCGCCAAATGGCCGGATTGGTGGTGGCCACAATAGCTGCTGTCGTCGCCATGGCGCCCGGAAGCGGCACAACGCCACACAGACGAATGCCACGCATCTGGACTCCTGCTGCTGTTGCCGCAGCAGCAACGATTGCTTCTCGCATGGCGAACTGGAAATGAGCTGCCATTGTCATATAACGCATCATCATCATTGCCATCACCATTACTCGCCCGCCGCCACAGCTGAGAGTACAAAGCGACGCGCTTTGGTGCGCACGCGACGTCATCGCCATCGGCATCACCATCAGGCGCAGGAGCAGGATGAGCCACAACAGCCGCACCTGCATACGCATTCGCACTCCCATCAGCATCTGCATTCACATCATCGTCATAGCAAGCACGCCTCGGAGCAATTGCGACGACTTCCAGCCGGCGGCCACAAAGCCAATAGCAACAAACACACCACCAACGACAACAAGTCTTCCCTAGACTCCAGCGATGAGCAATTGCCGCAGCAACGGCAGCAGCAGCAGTCGATGATGCATCAGACCATTGCCATTGAGATTGATGCGGCGACCATGACGGAAGATAACAGCAGCACGGCCACCTCCAATTTTCCCTACAAGGTGGCCAGCGAGGGTGGCGGCGTTCCCATCATCTTGGCGCCCCTACGCGAGCAGCATCGACAGCGCCCTAGACGGCGTGGCTCGCTGAACTCCAACACCACCATCGAGACAGACGAGCTGTCGCAGGATGCGGACGATGATGACGACGACGATGACGATGTGCACATAGCCGGCTTGGACGCCGACGCGGACGACGACGCCGATGACGATGATGAGGCGCAGCTGACGCCACGACGCAACAAACGCGTCACAGCCAATGGAGCGCCCTCCAGCTCGAGCAGCACAGCGCGCGCCTGTGCCGGCGCCCTGCCCCGCAACGAGTGTGTGCGCATCAAGCGTAAGCGTTTCATGCCCGACGCTGTGCAGGATTACTGCAGCAGCTGTTCACGCTGCTCGAGCTGCAGCTGCGGACAGGAACGCACCAGCTCCTGCAGCAGTCTGGACGACTTGGGCGACGATATGCGCGCCCATGAGCTAACGGTGGCAGCCGAGTGCCATCACTGCAATCTACAGCCGCAGGAGCCAGTCGAGCTGGAGCCAACCAACAACAATGCGGTGACCAGCCGACGCAGCAGCGTCAGTTTCGGCTCTTGCCACACGTCCAGCTGTTGTTGCTGCAACAGCAGCAACTGCGAGGAAGAGGAGGGGCATAACAATGATGATGAGGATGACGAGGATGAGACGACGGGACAGCGCGAGTCCTTCTGCACGGCAGCCGATCACACCATAAAGAGCACGGTCACGCCCTTGGGTGCTGACGCCGAGGACTGCCACAGCAGCACACTGACGCCACTCACCACACAGCATTCCTCGCTGCTGGAGGAGGACAACAATGCCGAGCATACAATGCGCAGTGAGGGCGATGGTGGCGCTGGCACGCTTACCGATGCCGATGCCTCATCGCTGAGTCAATCAGCAGAATACTATTCCGTATCCTCGGCGGCAGCGGTGCAGCCATCGCTCACCAAATGCTGTCTGGACACCACGCATTGCGGCAAGCCCTGCAAGCATTGGAGCAAGCACCATAGCCGGCATAAACGCAGCTCTTCGCCACTGGACTCGCATTTATGACGAAGCGTTTCGCTGGTCAGTTGGCCAGCAATCGATGTGAATGCGTTGCTGCAGCAGACGATACGGAAGGCGGCTGTGTTGCAGGAATCGCCGGTGCGTCGTAGGCTCTTGCCACCGCCACCACCGTTGCCGCCGCCACCACCACCAGCAGTTGCTGTGCAACTGCTGCACACCACAGCCGGCAGCAACGACAGCTCCACTGCCACGCTCACGCCCTCCGTCATCACTGTGGCCAAATATCCGCCGAGCGGCTCTGCCGGCAGCTCCATACAGTCCATCCATACAGTGACCACACTCTGCAGCGGCAATGGACGCGCTGTCGTCACCACTGCCAGCACCAGTGGTGCAAACAACAGTGGCGGCTCTGCACCCGGCACCGCACGTACCAAGCGAAGCTCCAAATTCTCGCCAGTCGCCTCCGATGCGCACAGCTGCGATCCGTTGCTGTTCAGCCAGGAGCGACGCTCAGCAGAGATTATCTTATAAAGTGAGAGAGATATAGTAGTAGGGCCAAGGATCGTTTATACCTCGTTGGCTGTGCACCAAACAAACAAACAAACAAGCAAACATATTACTGTTTGCAGAGATCTGTGTAATTGCAATTTGGAATTCATGTGCAGACACATTTATTTCGTATTGACCTGTTCATTATGTTGTTATTCGGGGGTTCTCCACTAAAATTATTTGTACATTTTTATAAGATTACCCAAAATTGTGTAAAATTAGTACTAAATACATACATGTTTCTAACATAATTTTTATCTCGTACACCCATGAATTTAATGTGTAGTTTCGGAGTCTGTGCGATCCAATAATTAAATTTGTTATTTAGCAAGTAATGGAACAGACATATCCAATCAAGTAAACTAAACATAAAGAACCAAAACCAATTCGACAAAACGCGCAGCAGACTCTTTTTCGTTTTTTATATAATTGCAATTTTCGTACAATTTTTTAGTCAATTGTTTCTTTAAGTTATAATATGTGAAACAAATCAATCTCGATATAACTATTATTGTATATGTATATATCTATGAAAATTATTCATCATCTAAGCTTTAATTTTATGTTTCTTTCTAGCGGAATTTATAAGCTAAGTTTCTTACCTAAAAAAATAAAAACAAAACTACGAAAAACAACATTTTTGATTTCCTTTTTTTCTTTTACAATCGAATTCAATTGTTTTTCATTTTATCGCATGTAAGTTTTTATGTTGCTTATCAATAAATGCATCGGGCAAAGTGCATATATATTTACAAATACTATTATCTATGTATATTTATTAAAATGCTAACAGATTAATAAGTTTAAGCCAAGTTTATTAAAAAAAAACTATAAAGAAAAAAAACCGCAGCCAAATATCTTCCTTGCAATGTTGAGATTCCGTTGAAAACGTACACACAATTATTAAGAAAGTAATTAAATTTAATGTAAACGCATGTTTTGCTAAAAATTAGCTACTATTTTCATAACTAGTGTAAAAAAAAGTGCTTGAAAATATTTAAGAAATATTAAAAAACCAAACAACACACAAAAACTCCATGCAAATCAAAACTTTGTTTGACATTTGCGCAAATATTTGTTGATTAGTCCGTAGCCGTGTCTTTTGCGTATATTTATATAAAAATTAATTATTTATTTAGACTTTAAGTGCAAACAATTACCAAACATTTTAAGCGCTTTGCAGTTCATTTGTTGCACCTTCTTTGCAAGAACAAACAATCGAGCGCCGGAAACTTTCAACAATTTGTTAGCTACGTGTATCGCATTCTAAAAACCAAAAACAAATCAAATTGTAACGTATTACTTATCTACATATACTTACATGCATATAGCAACAACTAATACTCATTACTATAACTGTTAAAACCTACAACGTATTCAAAAACACAAAAATACAATTAACGTCTAAATTGTACGCCACAGAAGTTAAAGTAGAGGCATTTTTTTCTAATGGAAACGATATACCATAACACACACATATATAAAGATATAAAATTCATAAATAAAAGCAATAAATGCATACACCATAAATGAAAATTTTTAAAACAAAACCAACAAGGTAGATACATAAATAAAGGAAACCACGTAATGAATTTACTTTATACTCATAAGGAACAATCTGTTAAAAAAAAATTAAAGAAATTTAGAGTTGAAATTATCAAAAGTAATTTTTCCATAATATAAACAAACAGCCACAAGAAATGTTTAATAAATAGAAAAAGAAGAAAAAGCAACTAGCATTTTGAATCGAAACGAAATTTAACAGCACTAACACAGCTGGCCAACGCTCGCAGCACTGCCCTTCCCAACACTGTCCAGCTCGAAATAGTATCGTTTTTGCATACTCGATACCATCTGTGCGCAAAGTGCAGCAGCAACAACAACACATTCCAAGTTGTGCGACGTCTGTTGAAGCAGCGGCAACTACGCGGATGCCAAACGAAAGCTTTTAACTGGATTTTTTTTCCAAGTAAAAAGAATTTTGCAAACGGTGCTGCGTAGTGCGCGTTTTTAATTTACAATCGAATAATTTACATAAAATTTTCAAAGTTAATTTTTAAAACCCGGTGTGCACAATTTGTGAACATTTTCAAATCAAAAACCATTGATTGATTTTTGCGACCAAATAACGACGACGGCGTCGCTGCAAGCAAGGTGCGTGTATGTGTATGTGTGTGTAGCCAGTGCGTGCGAATAAAGTTACATTTGGTGGCTTTTGTGTGAGTTTATCGTGCATGGTTCCGTGTAATAATATATTGATAAGAAAAGGTTTCATGACGACCGCCTGAGATTTTGTATTGCGGTAAGCTGCACAAACAATAAAATTGTATGTATGCGCCAGTTAGGTGCGTTTGTGTGTATGAGTGTGTTGTGTGTCTGTTTGTTAGTATTGCAAAGTGCCGTTATCTAGCGGTGTCATAGGAGCGTTGCATTTGCTTGTGGCCGCTTCAATTTGCCAATTAAGAGCATTTGACCCGCAAATATACATACATATGTATGTAGATATAGTACATACATATGTATTTAAATTTCTCAATATCCATAGATGCACCAAAGTTTTGTGCATTTGATGTTCGATTGTTGAGCGTCACACACAATTGACCACTTTTCTATGGCTGTGAGCGTTTCGTTAACAGCTTCAATGCATACGTTTGTACCCTGTAGTACTAAAAGAGCCCGCTATCGCGGTGTCGATTCAAAACAAATTGCAGTGTGTCAAGAAAGTGACAATGACAATCTACATGTTTCTCTTTCTGCTGAGAGAAGCGCTCCTCTCCCATTTTATCTATTTTTAGCACAGAACAATGGAAAAGTGACAGTTCGAACGGAATAGAAATAAACATACTGCTCGTATGTAGAAGAAATGCGCAATTGGAACGCGATAATGTTTACCCATTCCAGCCGATCGTGTTAAAGTCTTGTAGGCTGTGTATAAAAAGTATACTAACCAATTTAAAATGCTGAGGGTTTGAATCCCTAGCAAAGAAAATCCTTTTAAAAATAGGGAAACTAACAAAGGCATAAATAATATATATTTTAAAACATTTGGCCAAATCGAATATCATGGCTATTACAATACAAATGTTAGGTGTTAGCGAAATTACGAACGCAGGACTGATGCCTGTTACTGCAGGGTACATATGAATGCATGTGTTTCCACGTATGTATGTGTGCGCTGCATTTGACACTGAATGGTGTGCACACACAACTGTTGTTGTTGCTTTTGTATTATTTGTCTATACATTGCACTTTAGCTTTTTGACATTGGCGGCCAGGCTGGCTGGCTGGCTGGCCAGCCAGTGAAGAGAAGCACTGAAACGTGAGCTTTGAAAGATAGGCACGGTTCAATGTCAATATACCCGCAGTCTTTCCATTGAACTTGATATTGAAAAATATATTTCAATATTCAAGTGGACTTTATGTGTGTGTGTGTGTGTGTGTGTGCGTGTATGACAAAATTTCTAGTGGCACAGTTTCAAGTTTTAATCTAAACGGAAACATTGTGTAAGTTCCAGCTTCGGCCTTGTTCCTATTGATAGAAATATGATTTCATTTCAAAACGACAGCTGGTGCTGCTGCAGCTTTTTAATCTGAATTCATTTTCTAAGCTCTTTTTTCTTGGGGTTTTTCGTCAATTTCGAAGACACTAATTCTGCTTGAATTCCAATTAGTGTGTTGATTGGAAAAATTTTAATCAAACAATATTTAGAAGTAACTATATAAATTCTTTTATAAATATTTGATTTGATTTATTACTGGGCAATCAATAGTTATAGGAAAACAATAAATGTACTTTCTTAAATCGTCTTCATTTTTTCATAAGTAATCATCAAAATACCACAACCTCAAAAAAGGAAAAGAAATCGACTGATGTTCATAATACATATTTAATAATTATTAAGCCTCGCTCTAATCTATAAGATCAAACTTTTATTATAGCTGTCAAGATTCAGTTTCAAATAATGTTGACCATACTTAATTTGATTTGTTTTCTATTACTAATCATCTTTACTAAATGCTTCAAGCAATGACAGTCCTCAACTATTAAGTTCTCATAAGGTTTTTAGCGAGTTTGTCATCTCTTGTTACTCATAAAATCTGTTGAGTGCAGTCTATTCTCCCAATTAGTCAATTTTTTTCAAAGCGGCGCCTTATCGATTCTCACAAAGGCTGACCATAAAAACAAATCCCCGAGTCAAAAAATAACAGCGCGTGTCAAATTGCACAAAGACAACTTTTACATAAGTTTTTAAATCAGCTCTGACTTTGTTTAGACCAGAGATACACGAGATGCATGTATTTTATTGCCCAAAAATGTTTGTGACAGTCGCGCTTGGCTTCTCCTGCCTTTGCCTTCAGCCCTCAGAGCTAAAATGCGCCAATTTTATTTACTGCTGACATTTCGCAAATGCTCAGTAAGGGTCTTTTAGAAGCGCCCACGCATTCGCCAAACTCTCTGGGCGCCAAAGGGCGTGCTTTTGTTTGGTATTCATGAATGAACTGAAACAGCAGAAGGAGCAAAAGGCGAAGGAGCAGCAGCCTCAGCCAGGCATGCCGGAGTGGTGGAGCCAGCCAGGGAGAGAGAAATGGCAGTATGTCTTGGCCTTGCGCCTTTTGCCTTTCTGCTGATTTAACACTAAAAACTCAGTAAATCGAGAGAGAAAAAGTAAACGGTGGCAGGTCGAAAATGTTGTACCCTTCTGAACTGCTTTGGGGTATAAAATGTTTTCAAAAGTAAGACCTTTTCGGGGAACAACATTTGTGCAATAATTGCAGCTTTAATATTTAAGTTAAAAAGAAAATTTTGGAAAACAAATACATAAATGAAATCGTTGAAGAACCCAGAGGGGCTATAGAATACACTCCCTTGAAGTTAGTGTCGCTACGATTTCTGGGTTGACTTTACACATTACACAGCAATTACTCCGCTGCTTGTCAGGCAGCCAGAGTGAATAGGCGTTACAAGGTTAAAGGGCATTAATAACCAGTTTAATATTTAATGATATGTTTTCAAACAATACGAGATTAAATAATATACGAGGCTATACGCGTTTAAGGGCCTGAACGACGACTCAACACACTCGCCAGGGTTAGATTGGGAATGCCAGATCGTGCATTATTCTTCGATGGTCCTATCTCCTATCGATTGGCATTAAAGTGTATATGGGGATTGTTATTGGCTTTTTAAGATCTTTAAGAATCAAGTAATTTCTTATGCAGAACCTTGGGTAAAATAATCTAAGAAATCCAATTAGACACTTATTTAGATCTTTATATGTTTAGAAAATAGTCGAAAATATTTAAAAATAGCGTATATGGCTTCTTTAAGATCCTAGGAGTAATGCCTCTGTCAGTAATGCAAGGAATTTACAAGTGTGTGACGAATATTGCTATTTTAGTCGGATCCGACAATATAGTTGATTTCGTCCTTGCAACATTCGACCGACTTTCGACTTTCAAACTATTCGAGTGTGTGCCTGTTCGTTGCTTTTCTCTCTTTTTGTGACAAATCCATCCAACTTAATCCGTAAGTGTATTCGAGAACATATTATGGGGAGTGCAAGAGAGAAAATAATAGAAGGAAGGAAGGAAGAGTTGCGATGTCGAGGTCATGCTCTGAATTTAAATTGCTGTTATTAGATCGCAATCCTTTTCACTAAACTTTTAATATTGCATTCCCGCCAGGCTTTTTATTTTGATTACCACCCGCAATCCTCGTATTACAAACTTGGCCAGGAAGTGCCAAATGAATTTATAGATTTTCAGAGTCATGAATTTATTATGCATACACACACAAGAGCCAATGAAACAAACAACAACAACAACAATAGCAATAGCTATGAAAACCATGTAGAGCTCTTAAGGCCTAGAACTATAAATAGAAAGAGACTTAAGGCAAAGGCTAGGCGATTACGATTCCATCAATTTGAGCTTTCCTTCAAGTTCATTGAGTTGCCTTAATGGCGCAAAGGCCAGGATTATGAATTTAACATGAACGACATAGGCATTGGGCATCGGGTATTAGCGTTTGCGTTGGCGTCGTTTCGGTTACGGACTCGACGTAGGCGATAAACAATTTTAATCAACATAAACAATATGCAGGCCAACACAATGGCGCGCGTCAGTCGGCGCTGAAATTAACAGAATATAGCATTTGCTAAGTCGCGCCCATTGACGTCAGCAGCTGGAGGTGGAGATGGTTCGAGATCCTTTGTGGCTGGGCCTGACCAGACAAAACTCGTATGCGTGGCAAGTGGCAATGTGTGTGTGGCAAGAGATAGAGGGTACTGTGTCTCAAGCTAAAAGGGATAGCATGCTCGAGCTGCTTAGGTACTAATGGCCAAGACAATGCGTGCTTTGGCTCAATGAACTTGACGGCTGCCTGACCCAAAGAACACACTAAAGGGACTTAACATATCTACCCTAAGTGTGTTACCCAAAAACAACTTACAAATGCTTAGCACAACTTTTAATCATAGTTGCATTAAACTTTTAAAGCAACAACAAGTTAGGAGTTGAATTTTAAAATAAAAACATTAAAAATATTTGTTTTTAATTAAATAAATGACAAACAGATGTACATATATACAGATTCCTATTTACATTATGTAATACTATTATCTAATAAACAGAATATATTTATATTATATATATTATATATATTATTCGAATGACGTGACAGCTTTTAAAGCATTGCAGTTCCCACACTTAGAACTAAATATGAAAAAATCTAGGTGTAAGTAATTGGTCAAATATTGTATTGTGTTTTTTTTTTTTCAGTTTCAACCATCTATTGATCAGTTATTAGCGATTTTTTCATAATTTATTTAAATGCCAATGGCAAAATAGTTTACCTGAATTGCCTTCTTGAAAAACTAATACAGTCGCAGAGACTTTAACAGCAGAAACATTTTCATATCCTGTACCCAATAAAAGAAACGATATGCCAAAAAGTCTGTACATGTGTTTCAGGCAATAAAAGGCATAGCCGATTCGACGTTATAGAAACATATAGATACGATAAAGGCATGTCCGTCTTCTAAAGCAATGATAACTTTTGAAAACTTGAGTTATTATGAAAATCGGTTTAATGTAGAATTTGTACAAAAACTTTCCTTAAAGTCCATTTTAGTTGAAATACTTTTCAAACATTC